TAAAAAAGGAGGGGATTTTATCAGAATTTAATTGCGTGTTACGGCCGTATATCATGCCTAGGGATGCACAGACGTAACACAAAAATGTGGATAAAAAGGCGCGCGCAATGTTTCAACAAAAGTAAATACAATTTATTAACAACTTATTCATCACAAAAAGACAACTGAAAGGAGACAAAAACATGAATACTGACCTCCCTCTCTATTCACAAAACCAGGAGAAATAGCAGTAGCGAGAGAGGGGGGGGGGGAGGTTTCAGCAGGGAATAGAAGACAATTCCTGGATCAGCCATCTCATACGGGCTGCCAGAGCGAGGAGGACATTGAGGATGAATCCAGGGAGGTTTTGCCAATGTCATTTCTGCCGTAGAACCTGGAAACAATGGAATATGAAAAAAAAAGATAAAAACTAATATGAGCAGTTATGGACTTCATAGATACAGCTCGACGGTGGGCAGCTGCTGACAATTTTGAAGATAAGATCATGAGTTTCAAACCTAAAATTATAACCAAAAGTTCAGAATCTTATGCTCCAAATTGTAAGAAGCAGGATTTCTTCTTCATTGCCTTCATCATACCAGTCTTGACAGAGCTCTTTAGGTAATTCTCCTACTCTGTGGTTTGGTTTTCATCCCCTCGGGCACTGATCTTTGTGAACAGCAACATAATAACCCTGAGCTTGCGGTGACGTCCAGGACTGATGGGCAGAATGTCTCCAGCTGAGAGCTGTTTCCAAACCCCGAGGCTCTAGTCACAGCGTGGTACAAACAGGCGATAGCTGCTGTTAAGGATTTTCTCACTCTGATCGTACTTTCCATCTCTTCAAAGAGCGACGGCAGTAATGACAGCGAGGAACTCTGGCCTCTGCAGCCTCTGTTGTTCCGACAAATGACCAAAAGCAAAGAATTCTCAATTTAAAAAAAAAAGTGAGGTGTGAATGATCCTGATCAAATTGGACTTTGAGCCACAACACTGAGCGCGTCATTAGTTTGTGAGGCCCTTGCGGCTTCGCGTCGCTTTTGTCACGCCGTTGATGCGGCCGAGCTCCCTTTGTGTCGATCTGACGCTGTTTAACCTTCGTGCTGAGAACGCGGCTTTCAAGAAGAGCTGATACGAGTTAAGTGCTGGGTACATGCGAGAGGAGAGGCGGTGTTGTGGTTTATTTGGTCTGGTTCACATACACACACACACACACACACACACGGTGCATGAAGCGAATTTAACAGCCCCAGCCTGTGTGTGTGTGTGTGTGCGCCGTGTACCGAGATGGTGCTGGCGACGTCTGAGGGTGTGACTGCCAGGACGACGCACCCGCTATAAAGCGCTCTTAGTCCACTTCACTGCTGCAGGTTCATGCCACAAGACTGAACACAACGCGCGCACGCCTCTGTCTCGTTAATGGATGCCCTCAGTGAATCCGTACCGCCATGCGTGTGCCTGTATGTGCCTAAGAGTATACAGCAGATGGGAGTGATGGCGTGGCTTCTTTGCTACATCTGGGGCAGGTAGCGAGGAGCGAGCAGGCCTCCCAGCTGCTGTCAGGATGAGCGTCTCTGAGCACACGCTGAATTATTGAAGTGAAGAAGCGCCTCTGCTTTGTCTCGTGTCACCAGGATGGACGCCCACAACTCCGACCTGAGACGTCAGCTCCCTTCTAACACAATGCGGAGCAGCGGTTTGATTACGGCTCCTCCGCCGGATCGCGCTAAAACGAACCAAAGTTTCATTGTAGGTCGGGAGTCTCGACGGCGCTCGTGTTCGCGCAGAAGGGAAACGCTGCTGCCGAGTTCCCGCCGAGGATGATGAGGCGGCCGTTTAAAGCTACCTGAGCCGAGGTGTCAGAAGGACTCGTGTTCTTGTAGTCATCAGCCCAGGTTCCTCCAAAGTGGCTCTAATGATGCCTCTCATCACGATGCCGCACTCAGCTTCCCTCCAGCAGAACGCTGCCACTTACCGCAGACATGCCGCGAATATAACGGAGACAACGCAGCAGCTTCTGCTTCAGCCTGAACGGGGCCACGCAACTCGTTACGTAACAACAGCGTACTAATATCAGTCACTGTTTACGGGTTTCGTGAGACGACAGCGCAGTGTATGGGTGAACATCGCAGACTGTATATAAGAAGTGGGCGTAGTCACCGTGACGCCACCCACCGATTGGTGGACGGGCCGTCCCCTTTTTGGGTTATGAATCCGTCGTTTTTGGAAGCGATGAACAGAAATGGCCGTGTTTGCAATGCGAAGGAGTGTTGCCACACGCGGCTTTGTAGCGGCAGCGACCGGTCAATCCCAATGAGCCCACCCCTGAGCAGTAATTTAATTCAAGGTCTATTTGCCTCTAAATGGACCATCATTTGGTAAATGAACATCACGATTTGGACTTCTAAATAGAGACCACTAAATAGAGACCATAAACTGATGTATGCAATGTTTACCGAGGCGAAAAATGTTTGGGGTGGGTTCATTTTCATGTAGATTTCTATATATCCGTTTCACAAGAATTTCATCTCGTCCCATTAATAATCCAGCGCATCCTTCTCCTTTACAGCGGCACTGTCATCTTTCTAAACGTATGTGTTTCGGATTGAATTATTTACAGGAGGACAACATCATCATTACATCAGTGCATCTTCATTTCTTATGCTCCTTTGAATTTATATTTACTATTTACGAAAATACAGCCAATGACCGGATCACAACTCAAGATTTCTTTTTACAAGCATACAAACGCTGTGATGTAATAATACAGCTTGATAATACAACGTGATAATACCGATAATCGTTGTCCAAATTGAATCCCACTGGGTAGAAAATTGCACACACCGGACCGCCGTGGATGATAATGGTTGAATTTAGTTTTTAGAACACAAAGAGCTATTGACCGCCCGCCTCCCAGGTGAGGCTGACTCTCGGTGCGGGCGATCGATGTGCCTGTGGTCATTGAACTGAGCTTAGAGGTAGTTTGTATTCTATTAGCAATCAGTGGGGCTTTGCAGCAGTGAAACAAAAGCACATGCTGATGCCTACTTGCTGCCAAAGAAAAGAACCGACTCCAACGGTGTGACTGTACGCTGCTACTTCTACTTCTGCCGCTTTGTCTCCCTCCGCCAGTCACGGTTGTCCGGGTGCTACGAGGAGTCTCCAAAGGGGGCGTGGCCTAATACCAGCTTGTTCTAGCTGTTCGGGTCACAGCTTCTGCTGCTGCTCGGAAGCCTCTTGATGCGTGAACATAGACATTGTGATCTCTTAAGCATTAGGAAGCGACAAGGTTGAAACATTCACCCACGATTTAGTCCCCCTACAGAAACTCAAGGAGAAAGGCAGTGAAAGACAAGGGACCAAATCAAACACCCAATAGCTGTCTTTTTGCAGATTATAAAATCACATGGATGCATTAAATCTGGGTGTCCCCCACAAACAAGGCCCCGAATTGACTTTCCGTTGGAAAGTGTCCCTGCACAGTGAGCACGAACCAATAGGTTGCATTTGCTGACTACTTCCCAAAGTGCCCCGGTACTAGGCTGCATATCAACTGGTTAGAAGTCTGCTGAAGAATGATTACGATGCCGGTTGAAGATAATCACGTCACGTGGCCGCATGGTCCTATAACGAATCCCTCTACGATCGGGTGACGCTTGACACGCAGTTGTTTCTTTGGCACTGAAAGTGTTCCTCGTGTGCTTCTCCTGCAGATCCCACAGAGGACGACATGAGGCTGGTGTGGAAATCCCTGGACAAAATGAGGTGTCTGAGGAAGCGCTCCACTATTCCCTTTCTCGGCTTCCTCATCACCTTCCTTCTCTTCCTCAACCTCTACATCGAGGATGGCTTCGTGCTGGTTAGTATCAGACACATTTGCCAAAATATGCTTTTTAAAACAAATGTGTTCTTGCACTTTTCCCTTTTATAAATTGCTTGTTTTAAAGGAAACAGGTTTACATTTTTTATAACATGGACCCAAGTTGAAATCATCTTTGATTTCTTATTCATGGTGCCATCAAAAGCCGGTGATCACGGTACATTATCTGTGTTTGTAATTTAAATTATTGAGCGATAGTTTGCATCTCTGGTGGATCCATTTGCTGGGTCTGCAAACTGCCTGTGGGGCTTTTAATATTCCCTTTGTCTCAGAGCGTTGAGGGTTAGCCCCCCCACTCAGAGACACATATTGTCTCCAGTCGCTACAGGATGTTGGAGAAAGTCTTCCCCTCATTTCAATTATTCACTGTTAGAAATGCACATTTGCGCGAGGACTTTCCTGTCCCCTCTCCGCCGGCGTTCGAACAGCTTGTACATGTTTAGTTCCTTTTTTTTCCCCTCTCCATTGTTCATAATGCAAAGCCGAGATGTGTTTTTCATCCCGTCTTCCAGGAAGGAGATAAGAGGCAGCTCAGGGAAACGTCGGTCTGCCCTTCGAGTGCAGCGCGATACGTTCACACATTCAGAGACCTGAGCAATGCCTCCGGAGCCATTAATGTCACGTATCGTTACCTCGCCGGTGCCCCACTGAACCGCAAGAGTAAGTTTCATGTTTGTTTAAACAGGACTTTGCATCCGCTGGTTTACGTTGTACAGTAGACGTAAGCGCGAGATGAAATGCAACTGCTCTACTGAGACCTTTCTGCCCCAGAATGAACACCTTGGTTTAATCACTATGACAATATTTTACATGTAATGCAAAATGCTCAGATTTATGGTCTATGGCGATTACATTATGTTTATACATAATTGAATCACTGAAATAAATCTGTAAAGAATTTAGCATTTTATTTCTAGCTTAACTGTAGCTTTTGCTGTTATGTTACGACTTACGAGTATGTGCGTCGCTGTGTTGGACTTTGTTCACTTGGTGGTTGTGTATTCATGCCCCCTCTATTAAGTTTGAGATATTTTAACACAAAACTCACGCAATCCAAACCCCATGTAAACGACGATTTTTGTTCCCAGAGTATCTCACCATCGGACTGTCATCAGTCAAAAGAAAAAGAGGGAACTACCTGCTGGAGACCATCAAGTCCATCTTCGATCAGTCCAGCTACGAGGAGCTCAAAGAGATCGTGGTCGTGGTCCACCTGGCCGACTTCGACCTGGTCTGGTGTGAGAACCTGGTGCAGGAAATCAGCAGGAAGTTTGCTCACCACATCATAGCCGGACGCCTCCTGGTGATCCAGGCCCCGGAGGAGTTCTACCCGTCTCTGGACGGGCTGAAGAGGAACTACAACGACCCGGAGGACCGCGTCCGTTTCCGCTCCAAGCAGAACGCCGACTACGCCTTCCTGCTCAACTTCTGCACCAACCTCTCCGACTTCTACATGATGTTGGAGGACGACGTCCGCTGCTCCAGGAACTTCCTGACGGCGCTGAAGAAGGTGATCACCTCCAGGGAAGGCTCCTACTGGGTGATGCTGGAGTTCTCCAAGCTGGGCTACATCGGGAAGCTGTACCACTCCAGGGACCTGCCCCGCCTGGCCCACTTCCTCCTCATGTTCTACCAGGAGATGCCCTGCGACTGGCTCCTCATCCACTTCAGGGGTCTGCTGGCCCAGAAGGACGTGATCCGCTTCAAGCCCTCGCTGTTCCAGCACATGGGCTACTACTCCTCCTACAAAGGGGCCGAGAACAAGCTGAAGGACGACGACTTTGAGGAGGACGCCGTAGACATTCCCGACAACCCCCCCGCCAGCATGTACACCAACATCAACGTCTTTGAGAACTACGACGCCACCAAGGCCTACAGCACCGTGGACGAGTACTTCTGGGGGAAGCCTCCTTCCACGGGAGACTTCTTCCTCATAATCTTCAACAAGTCAACCAAAATCAGTAAAATTAAGATTGCTACTGGTTCTGACGACAGGCAGAATGACATTCTTCACCACGGCGCCCTGGAGGTCGGAGAGAAACTAGTCGGCACTAAAAAAGGGAAACAGTGTTCCTCTTTTATCACATTGGGGGAGTTTAAGAACGGCAACATTGAGGTGCAAGACGTAGACCACAAAATCTCCTTTGACATTGAGTGTGTTCGCATTGTGGTGACAGCCGGTCAGAAAGAGTGGCTCATCATAAGAAGTATAAGTTTATGGACTACGCAACCCCCCATCCAATGAGGTCCACCCACAAGAGACGCCTGCAAGGTTTCCATTAGTATTATTTAACAATGTATGTGTTTACAGGTTTATTTATTAATTTTATATGTATTTATTGATACTCATTTGATTGATGAATCAATCTATAGTTTTGTTTTTTATACCTGAGGGATACAATGCTATCATATATAAGGATATATATATAGTGGTATTGTTTTACAACATTGGCTTGGGTTGGTTTGGGTCTGTATAAGTTCTAGGAAAAGATCAAACGCAGTGATGAGTTGATCCCACAAACAGGTGTTTGCGTGTCTCCAAAGGCTGGTAAGTCTTATTCTTTCGTGCCATAGAACTCGGTTGGTTGAAATGCTTCTTCATCAGAATAAACTTGGGCTTTTCCGTACATTTTGAGTGAGCCCTTCATACAGGGTCTGTAAATACTCACTGGTGCACCACTACAACACCAATGTGTATTAATACACAGGTAAAAATAGCCTTAAGATTTGGGATTTATGTTTTAGAGGAAATAAATGGACTTTGGCTGAGATCCACAGACATGAGATCAAAAAACTACTTGAGAGGGAATAAACCATTTTAAGTCTTTTCATGGGATCTGTTGGCATTAAAGTACCCAGAAGAATCACACCAGCCTTATACTTAAATGGTTCCAAGCTAAATATAAGTTAGGGAGGTTTTGTGTGATCGTTCAGAGTTGTGTCTGGTGCAAAGTGTAACCATGAAGCAGGTTTATTTGCATTAAACCAGCACAGTTGCCAGAGAAATACATAGCACGCAAACTTACTGCAAATGAATATGTTGGACGGGGACTTTTGCTATCATTCAAACCAAGTGGCGTCATGTATCAAGCTGCTGTTGAAGGTTCCCAAAAGCTAAACGTTGACTTTACATAAGGCTGTCTGCCAAAGACGGTTGTTATTTATCTCCTATTCATCACCTCGTGCTTTGCAAGATGTACATTGCCAACACATTTTTTCATTCAACTTTTCCAATTATCTCTAGTTATGATCCAGTCATTTCTTGCAGATATGACCCTGACCTTCGGTAGCGTTGTAACGTATTTGTATGGATGATGCGATGAACCAAACATTACAGAATGTTTTGAAAGCTCTTCAGAAAGATGAGAAAAGTGGGCGATGAACACTTATCTCACCATACTATTGATTTTATTGTAAATGGCCGCTGTGATGGGGAAAGTAATGGAGGTACTGTCCATTTAAAGCTATTGTGACTTGCAGTTTAACGAGAGCGCAGCACTCAGAATGTCCCCATTTTGCTCTTGACTGTTTCCTTCCCTGTAAAGTGTCCGAGGTCTTTGTCGCGAGTCGAACCAAACTTTCGCCAGCCTAAAATATTCTTCCCCGATTGAATCATCTTGTTTCGTGTCTGAGTGGGCGGAGCTCCCGGCGCTCCGTCAGGGCCGCTGACAGGAGAACAATGTTTTTTTTTTTTACCCTTCTTCTGCAAGAGCTCAGATTAAATTGCACAGTGAAGAATGGGCCGGGTTCTGCTCTTAGGTCTTTTTTTTCCACCACAGCACAATTTTCCCCCAGTAAATTGGTCTGTGTTTGCCTCACGCTGTACACCAGCAAAACAACATCTCCCCTGGAGCTACAGAATCTCAATTCGCTCCTTGCCCCCTGATGCTGCGCTCTCACCACTCCTGTGTTTCTGCTCCCACGCGGTTGCCTCGCCGTGATCCTCGCTCGCGCTTAACGCCGTCTGCTGGCTGGCGGCTTTGGGGGAACTCGCTCGACTTTTCCTTAGATGTGTCCATCTTCAAATTCCCCACCTTGCCTCGTGTTGCCGAACGGCAAACATTCGCAAGAATTAACTCGCCGCGTACTAACCGGCGATCCCAGGCGCCGCTCCGAGCCATTTCGGAGGCGCGCTTTGAAAACATCCCTGGCGCTCTGCATGCTCGTGTAATTACGACCCGTCGGTGAGCAATGTTTACTGAGGGATTAGTCGAGGAATCACCCGACAACGCAATGAAGAGGTAAATGTTTACACGACGCCCTCGGCCTCCAGGAGCAGGAGGTTGAAGCAGGTTGGCATCAGGCATCCGTAGAGCTTTGTTCAGCTGTTTTGCGGCGGCTGTTTTCCCTCGGTGTCGCGCGTCGCCACCTTGAATCCCCCACGTGCCGTCCGAGATGAGATTAGCTCGTTGTTTTTCCTCAGCGCTTCCCTTCGGAAAGTCGCTTCTCATTTGGGTGAATGATTCCGTGACCCGCGTGCCTCCGGGGGTTGGTGTTGGGCGGGGAGGGTTGGGGGGGCAGAGGGAGGGGGAGGGAAGAGGAGGGCAGAGGGAGAGGGGGGGGCGGGACTTCGTTTGAGACGCGCGCCTAGGTGCCAATTCGGCCCAGTATTAAACGTGCTTATGAGCTATAAACACGCGACGTCTCCACGGGGCCGTTGGCTGTTTTACAAGTGTAATGGATGTCTCTGGGACGCCCGAGCAGAGCGGCCCTGTTGTGAGGCTGATATTTCCGGAGGAGAAATTGCCGTCTGATCTTTATTTGAAACAAGACTGCGGCCAAAACGAACCACACGCTGCAGATTTATGGACAGATTTACATCTCGTGGATAACAACAAAAGCTGCATAAATTCCTCAACTGGATGTCAGCAAACTGCTGAGCTCGCCTTTCTTGCTGTTGGCAGCGAGTTTGGCAAACCACAATCCATACCGGCGCCTCAAGTGAACAGTGTGTGCAGGATCAGATTTCATTTCACTGAATTCAAAAGGATGTTTTACAGCTAATAAATGCCCATTTTCCATGTCCATTTGTCAAGAATTACCATCTCTGTGACGGGAAAAGAAAGAGTTTGAGTTTGAGGCTAACTTGCAGAGAGGTAACTGTCTTAGTTTGTTTAACTTAAGTGAATATTGGCTGCGAGTGTCCCCCAAAGCGCCGGGCCAGTGATAAATGTGGATGCAGCGCGCGGGTCCGGAGTTATTTGAAATGTGAGCCGTCTTCCAGTGGAGCATGTACAAAGTGCATGAACTAAAACTCTTCAGTGGATGAAGCAACTCCTTTTATACGTCGGGATCTATGAGTTATTGTTCAGCTTCTGCTATTGAATCTGCACCGGGTTTGTACGTATTTGCCTACCGATGCCACCTTACACAGGTGGGGGGCCCCCATGTGCTGTGTATGTAGTCAAGTGGAGCGAGTGTGTTAAGATGTCGTTTCTGTGTCGTTTTAACTTTCCATCAGTCTCTAATTGGTACTGTATTGTAAGATGACATATATTTTTTTACACGTATCGTTTCAAATGTATTTGCTGTGTTGAAATTAGATTAAAGAAATGGATGCTGACTCTGTGGTGCATTAACTGCTGCGAAGTGTTGAGTATGTGTGTCCAGGCTTGAATAACGAACGCCTCGGGGAAAACAGAAACCTGTTTACACGACCGCGGATGAAAAATGTCATCTTTCAGTCTTTGCCTGAACTTGTTTTCTTTCACTCATCGAAAAGCATTGAGTGACATGAATAAAAGTAGAACATACAGTGTACATATTACATTAAAAAAGTGGGGGGGAAACATCTACATTTCCATTTCCTTGAAACTCACGAGTAGAAGGACTCAGATCTTAGTTTAGCCAAAGGAAAAGCCACACATTATTCATTTCAATATTCATATATATTAAAGCAATACGGTACGAGAGGCTGTACATTATAGTCCAATAATGTAATAGTTTGGCGGTGGTGTTGGGCAACCCTGGAACTGTTAATGTTAATATATGAATATTAAAATGAATTCTTTCTTTTTCGCATTGCCCGAAATCGATCATTCGTGGGATTTCTGGGTTTTTTTCAGCGATCGCCACAGAGCTAAAAGCTGAAATGTCAACTAACAGTTGCGCAAAATCTAACCTGTTACGTTGAGTGCGCAGTGATACGGAACGCTCGGGTCAATGTGAACAGCAACTGTACATTATCGCCTAATAATGCACACCCCATGACTCACTCTCAACCAATCAGAACGCTGGATTCCATCTACCTGTCTAATGTATTACTTAATCAAGGCATGGGGTTGGTATTTGTCAAGTTGGGACACACACTTTGTTACACAAAGCGTACTGGCAAACACCTGGGAACATCTGTCAAAGGCATCATTCCGGAGGAGTGCATTAGATCAAGAATTTTAAATTATTGCAAAATGTCGGATCTTTTCTATTGCTTGTTTAAACAGACCCACAGGTTGTTTAGTCCCAAGCCGTCATATACTGTGTTGGTCAGTAACATTACACTTCACACTTACTGTCTTTAGCGAAAGCTCCTACCTAAAATGAGATCACAATCGTATAAATACATTTAAATAATTTCTTTCTTTCTTCAATTCTCCTCTGATGGTTGATGACTTTGACACCTTCCACGTTTCAAGTTGTAAGCTCTGAAAGGTTAAATTGTCAAGAATGAACTGACATATACAGATAAATGTCACACACAGTAAAGAAGCTAGACAAAAAAAATGTTAAACGGGTAAAATCGAAGAAAAGCGGGTAAAAAGGTTTAACAATAATTTATATTTGCTTTCAAATAATTAAATGGAAACATGCTGACAGCAATCACTTTAGTTATTATAACTACTAAAATTTCCATGAACTAAAACAAACTCTTAGACTCTGCTGTTAGACGACCCATGTTCTTATAAAACAAATCGATTTTCAAATCGTATCATCTGTTAATTGAACAGTTTGCATTCATAGGGCCGTGCTCGGAAAGTGTGTTCGACAGAGAGCACTCGGCCCGCTTGCTATGAACAACAATGTGAACACGTTAAAGAAGCTCACACAGAACACCGGACAAAATGAAATGAATATGTAAACACTCCAATAAAGCTTTGTGTGGAAATAGAATCACGGTTATGAAAAGGTTATGTGACCGGTTGGATAGAGGCTCCTGTTGGAGTCTAATTTAACACCTTCAGGCTTCCACCGTTTCCACACTATTTCAGACACCTTGAATGCTTTGTCACACTCTCCCCGTCTACCGCCCCTACAAAGTCATCTAGAACCAAATGGAAGGTGAGCGTACATGACAGCCGGGCGCCGGAGAAAACACATCCAATCGACCAATTGGCGGCAAGTAGAGGAACCAATATCCTGCATAAGAAGACCTGCACTGCGCACGGCAGGGGACATCAGCCAATCAATCGCTGTGGTTGCCATGGCGCTGCCAGCATGTACCTACACGGGGGGGGGGGGCAAACCCCATGTGATAATCGGGCTGATATGGATTGTACAGATCCGTCCGGCCCCCTTGTGCCCCTGGGATCCTGCTGCGTGGTGAGATTCCTGTTCCGCATCCCATTCGTTCTCCGCCCACAAAGAAGCAGCGGCAGCGCGTGGAGCGAAAGAACAATTTGAGTTTACTCTCAAGGTGATTTTAAGCACATGCCGGTATAGCGTCGAAAGCCCCCCCCCCCCAAAAAAAAGATTTTGTTCAGTATACTTGATTCCCTGCAGCACAGACCCACAGGAGCCAGGCGCCACCGCTGAGGTGGGGGAAATGGACGTGGTGAGATCAAAAATAACATGCTATGATCAGACGTAAACACGGGAATTCAAAGTAGGGAA